ACCTTCCAACATCACAGTGAGCTACAAACTGCTCAGAGGAGTAATCCACTGCTAAGTACCACCCCTCTCCACCACTTCACCAAAGCCTCACCCATGAGCACATGAAGCTTTGGGTGTACATCTTGCTGTAAACCATAACGTTCTGCCACTGGCGCCCAAAAGACTCATGCACATCCCTTTGCAAAATGCATTTTGTTCACCTCTCTGGAAGAGTTGCCAGAGTTTTAACAGTTTCAGCATTGCTGTAAAGTCCAAGTCCAAAATCTTCTCTGAAATTTAAGGCAAACTCTTAACTGTATATCAGGGACCACAAATTCACAACGGCTAATTTTGCATACTTCCCTACGGGATATGTGGAGGTTTGGAATTATTAGCATCGCCCATTTGAGATTTTCCACTGACTCTTTAGGGACGGGCCATCCTCTGCCACCCACTAAGACCAAAACTAAGCTCACTAAGTTTAGAAAAACACTCTAGGGCAAGATCCTTCTCAGCATAAAATCATCTCTGCCCTCTTGAGTCATACCAGGATTCTAATTGCCAGTTGAGTCATATTACCTCTGAGTCTTCTGCCAAATGTGACTCCTTCGCTAATCCAGCCATCAATGTACACCTCCAATAAATAGTGGCTGTCTTGGAGCGTCAGCTCATGGCCCATCCAGAGCTTCCCAGTCAGCCATCATGTATTATGAAATTTGTCTCTCATATTTTATCCTCTTGCTGTACCCTTAACAGAGACACTTGGGGCTCCTGGCCAGGTTCCCAATAACTGTAAACCCCTGTAAAAATGAAAAGAAATTTAAATATTCCAACATGCTGTGGCACAAGATAAACATTTCCATCCCAAAAGGTAGAAATAGGATAGAAAGGAAAGGGCCTAAAGCAAGAGCAAAACTCAGGGCAGACATTCAACTCCACAGCTCCACGCCCAGCACGTGGGCCCGTCTGCCGCAAGGCGTGAATTCCAAAGGGCTTGGGCAGTCCCACCCCCGTGGCCCTGCTCGGGATTATAACCCTCACGGCCTCTTCCTTGAGCTGGATTTGTTCACTCTTCGTGGCTTTCCTGAGTTGTCCCATGTTCCTGACTTTTGAACATACTGCAGTCCCCACCGTACTCTCAGCTCCATCCTTACAGGGTCACCCACTGCCCTCTCGGGCTTCCCTGGCTTCCCTGGCCATCTTCTGAAATGTGGGTGGAAGCCTCTCTGACCCCACAACTCTTGCACTCTATATGCCTGTAAAACCAGCACCATGTGCTGATACCAAGGTCTGCTGCCCACTGGAGCGGTAGCCTCTTGGAGCGTCTTGCTGGTTGCAGGGTCCCGTGAGTGTTCAGATGGTTGAGCACAGTGAACGAATCCTGAGGAATCAACATCCATTCTGTTGCCTCCTGCCGTTCTGGAGTACGGCAGCCTGGGACCCTCTCCTCAAAGCAGTGTCTTTTGCTTTTTCAATTTTGAACCTTGGAAAGGTGAAGTTCTGCTGGTTCCTTTGATGCCCTCAGGCTGTCTTTTCTATGGTCCTGTTCCAAAATACTTGACTCTTTAATACTAATCTTGTTTTCCTCTGCTGTATCTTTGCATGCCCCAGCTTTACTGGAATTTCCTTTTTGGCCAAACTCAAAACTTTTTAAGTCATTATGGGTGAACTTCTCTTGGTTTTTAGTGTAGAGCTGGTTGAAAGCTCCTAAAGGTATCCAAACCACAGCCTTAATGTTTGACTGTCTTAGACTTCTTCAAAGGCTCAAGACATAAACAAAATGTAGACAGACTTTCTGACCGAACGTGACCGAGAGTTCACCTGCCGGTGGATTCCCTCTTTCCAACTGCTACCTCTTGAGCCTGGTCTCTTCCAGCTGCATTCCTGTCAACATTCTGGTCTTCTGAGCTCCAACCAGAATCTCCCACTCAGCTTGGCTCCCATTTCGAGGGTTGCTTTTCCAGCTGGCATCCTCAGATCTTTCCAAACGGTCTTCACAAACAAGTTCCAGAGACTTCTGGACCACACGGTCAGGTAGCCATAGCAAGGCCTCACTGCGGGACCAAAATCTGCCTTAGTTTCCTGCTGCTGAGACAACACCCAGTACCCTCAACTCCAGGAGGAAAGGCTTGTCCTGGCTCACAGTTTGTGGAGGTTCAGTTCATAGTCCACTGGTTCCAAGGCAAGGGAGCATGGCAGAGAGGCTGGGCAGGGGAGAATAGTTCCTGGCAGCAGACGGAGCCAGAGAGGAGGGAAGGGGGGGACCCATCCAGATAGTGTGCCCAGTGACCCACCTCCACATCGAGCCTCAGCCCCAACATCCATTTAGCCGTGAACTCCTCAGTGGACTAATCCACCGATGCCTCTCACACCCCCATGATCCAGTCTGTGAGCCCTGAGGCTTTAGTGGACGTCTAAAAATAAATAACCCCAGCAGCCAGGGTGCAGTTTCTGCGATAAAGAATGAAGAGTAAACTAAAGAACGGGCCCTTTTGTTTACTTGAACTCTGTGCGGGGTCAGTCAGGATTGAGCTGCGCACTGTTCTGGCTGGTTCTGTTTCTTACCTGTGTGACAGGTCTCCCTGCCAGCTGGGCTGTACATTCACACCTTGGGCCTGGGCTGCTGTTTCCTTCATGTCCTCTACACCAGTATCCAGAATGGTGCTGGACAGTTGGTGACGCTCTATGGTTTCTCCATCAGGAAAGTGAGTTAATCATAACTACACTCACGGCTTTTTGCCACAATGTGCTTACAGCAATGCTTACAACAGGTAAAACTTATGTAAATGTTACTGCTTCATTTCTATTCCGAGTTATTCTTCCGAACTTATTCGAAAGGCTCCATCTTGTACCCATTCATTTATACAGTAAATGACTTCCTGCCCTGTGTTGATCAGCCTCCATAGCAGCACCAATAGCAAACCGCAAGTTTCCAGACTCTTCTATCACCACGTGGTAGCCAGAGTGAGTGTGAGTGGCCGTGTTTGTGCCCAGTGATCTTGACCCCACTGGTCCCAGCCTGCCCAGGCCTAGAGCTTCAGGAAGAGAGAGGACGTCTCGGTTGTGGGAGATCCTGGAAGGGAGCCGGTCTGCTGTTGGAAAGAACAAAACCAGCTGTAGAGAGGAGCAGGGACAAAAGCCAGAGAGATCCAGGATTCCTGGTTCCAGTTGTCCCAAGATGCTCCAGAGCCTACATTTAAGAAACAAAAACAAAACAAAAAATACACAACAACTTTATTGAGATAGCTCCCATACCATAGAATCCACCCGGTTAAAAATTTTTTTTTTGTCTTTTTCGTTTTTATCGGTACCAGGGATCAAACTCACGACTGCCTGCTTGCAAGGCAGGTGCTTATGCCACTGAGCTAAATCCCCAGCCCCTACCCAGTTAAATTTTAACAAGTTCAGCATGTTCACCATCAGTCATATCAGTGACAATGTTTTCATCTCCCTGGAAGGGAACTTGGTACCACTCGGCAGGAAGTCCTCACCCTCCCCTGAGACAGTTGGCATCTGGAATGCCCCCAAAGGTTCATGGGTGATCACTGTCACCCCTTTGGAATGAAACCTCTGAATCCATGAACCAAAAGAAACCTCTTCTTTTAAATCAGTCCACTCAGGGATTTTGTTACAGTAAAGCTGACCAACACATCTCCCTACCAAGTCGAAGGCAAATGCTGATCTACGGATTTGCCTGCTCTAGATGATCCATCTGATCGTAATTGGACTCATAATATGTGGTCTTTTGGGCTGGCTTCTCTCACATGGCAAATGTTGTCAGCATGTAGGGCTGTGGCAAAGATCAGTCAGTACGCATTCATCTTCATTGTTGAATAATATTCTACCGTATGGATATGCCAGATTTTGTTGAAATCGAATGATCTGTATATCTTTTGATTTTATGAATAATGCTTCCAGGAACATTAATGTACACGTTCGTGCACAGACACGTATTTTATGTGGACCTGTGTTCACTTGCTTCTCTTGAGTATGTAATTAGGAACAGAATGGCTGGGTGTCAGGATACCTTCTGAGTTTAACATTTCAAAGAACTCCAGGCTGTTACATCACTTTATATCCCCACCAGCAGTGTGGGGGTTCCTACGTCTCCACACCCTCACCAATGGTGGTGCTGCCTTTAATATAGGTGGTCCTTTAATATAGCCAACCTAGTAGGTAAACTGTGGCCCCTCCCTGTGGGCATGGCCTGGGCTTCCTTATGGCTACTAAGACTGTGCTGATTGGCTGTCTGCATATCTTTCTTTGAGAAATACCTGTTCAGATCATTTGACTCTAGGCTTTTTCTTTTTTTTTTTTGAGACAAGGTCTCACCATGTGGTTCAGGCTGGTCTTGAACTCACTATATCCCAGGCTGGGTTTGGGGCTGGGGATTTAGCTCAGCGGCATAAGCGCCTTCCTTGCAAGTGTGAGGTCGTGAGTTTGATCCCTGGTACTGATAACAATGAAAAAGACCAAAAAAAAAAAAAAGACATCCCAGGCTGGGCTTGAACTTGTGGCAATTCTCCTGCCTCAGCCTCCCCAGTGCTGAGATTCTAGGTGTGTGCCACAACACCCTGCTTTATTCTTTCAAACATTAATAACCTTATGAGCTGTGTGCAGGGAGAGTAATCGGGCTTAGAGAGTGTGGGGTAGGACTGTGCTTCTGTCTCTCAGGATATTACTCAGCCAGCCTAGCGAGATGGCACCCAGAGTCCCCCGGAGCACGAGATGGCCCGCACAGTTGTGGGGTGCTGCCCACTTACCCCCCACAGAGCTGTGCCACGCCTGCTGCCTTCCCTTCCCCACCCCCATGGTGCTCAGAACCCTCGACCAGCACAGCCCTGGCGTGTGCCCGAGAGCTCCACGCTGTGCCTTTGCGAGCCTGGCAGCAGCATGGCTTACCTCTCCTCTTGCTTCCCCATTACTGATATTAGGTTCTATTTCTGGCTGTGAGTTTTGTCTGGGGCCATTTTTAAATCTCCTGAACTAGACAAGATAGAACAGGCAGCTCTTGGGTTGCACAGGATCCCTGGACACAGCCAGAGCTGACAGAGGCCTCTCAGTAATGGCATCTTGTCTACTCACGAGGAAAGGCTGGAGGTGACTGCGTATCAAGGTGAGACCACAAAACTGGAATCCTCGTGCTTGGTACCGGGGAAGACTTTGAAACATGCCTTTTGGAGAGAGTTCAGCCCTTGTGATCTCTGAGTCACTGTGTGCCTATCATGTTTCCTGGTGCAGTGCAGAATCCTCGCAAAACCAAGCTCGGACTCCTGCTTGCCCAGAGCTCTCTGCAGGGAGCTCTCCTGGGAGCTGCTCCTCCCAGCAGGTGAGAGCCCTGGGCAAGATACGGGCTGTGGGTTCCCCCAGCTGGAAGTGTTTAGGGCAAGTTAAGTGATACTAACTAGAAAATAAAGAACAGCTGCAGGTGGGAGCCCAGGGCCTGCAGCTTGCTTCCAGAGTTGGAGGAATAGAGATGGGTCAGTCAGCACGGAGGTCGTTTCATTTTTTTCTCCATTGCCCATTAGCTTAGCTGTTGTCACATCCAAGAAGCCACTTTGCAGGAACTAAACCCAAGAATCCCATTGGATTGAGCTCTCGAGTCCTCAGGACAGATTTGAAATGGGCCTCGGTGAGAACTGGCCCACCCATTCCGTGGGATTCCCCAGACCAGATCCTGTCCATTCTGACCAAAGGGTAGCCAGCTGGTCCAGGGAGCAGGGGCCCCCACAGAAGCCAAGACCTAAGTCCCAAGGACAGACAAACCAGCCATGCAGCAGAGAATCAGAGATCACAGTGGATGGGGATGAGTAGTCACTGTACTGCAGGGGACAGACAGAAACCATCAGGAGGCATATGGTGTTAGGGTTCTCCAGAGCAACAGAGACAATAGGATACACTAAGGTTTGTTGTGGGAACTCCTCCCATGATTATGCTGATCCAGAAGTCCCACAATATGCCATCGGCAGGTTGGAGAACCAGGGAATCAGAAGGTGTCATTCAGTCCAAAGGCTGATCAGGTTTTCAAGGCCCGGAGAGTAGAAGATGGAGGTCTTAGATCAGGAAGACAGCAAGAAGTCCCCCGCTCTTCTGCCTCGGTGTCCTGTCCAGAGCCCAAGGAGTGGATGTCGCCCAGTCACACTGGTAACCATGAGTCTCCTTTATTCGATTGCTGCTCTAAAAGCTGATCTCTTCCAGGGGTACCCTCTCAGACAAGCCAGAAACAAGGCCGAGGCAGGAGGACCACCGTGAGTCTGAGACCAGCCTGAATTATAATACTGTGTCTTAAAAAACAAAGTGACACTATAATTTTATCATTCCTTCTTGAACTATTTGAAACATTATAAGAAGAAACTGCCCCGCATCAGTTCTTTGGCACCACAGTGTATAGTTTGCATAGAAAAGGTTGGACAGAGACTACATAGCTAATATTTTGCATTTCTTTCCAAGTGAGAAAGTGGAATTCTTTCATTTACTGGTTCTGGGGATAATGAGCTGGCTCTGTAGCACCCTCCACTGGTGCCCTGAGGAGTTGTTTGTTGTTATTTTGATTTTAGTGATTTCAAGATGGTTACGCTGGAGAGGAGGTGCCCAGTTCACTGCCTTTTCCTTATTTTCCCACTTTGCATTCAGCGTTAGGTATTGTTTCGATGAGTTGATTCTGTTCTTATAATTATAAAAAAGTTTACATGGTTCCAAAGTGAATCACAAAACAAGGAAATTATGTGGAGGTTGACTTTCTGTTTCTGGTTTTTCTATCGTTTCTTCTTTTCCCCGTAGACAAACGTTCTCTTTAACGATGCACCTTCCCGTGTTTCTCCCTCCCGAAGCAAGCGTGCGTTCATAGTCCTCTTTTTATATAAGCGGCATCCTGTGTTCGCACATTGCTTCGTTTTTACACATGGGAAGGAGATGAAATGCGTGGCGAGCCTGGGTATTGGTGTCACCTTGGCGAGGACAGGCAGCGGCTCTGCAGTCCCGGAGGAGGCCGGAGTCAGCGTCCACCCAAGGCAAAAGCCCATCTCCAGGCGGGGCCATCTTGAGCCAGATAAAGTGGGGATCGCGGGATCCCCTGGTTTCTCAGGTGAAGTGGAGGAACAGTGGGTCTGAGCGAGCACATCTGGATTGCTTAGGAACTCACAACGCAGCGCAGACCAGCGAGGCAGGAAACCTGGTCCAGAGGCCGGTTGGAGGCCAGGAGGAAAAAGAGGACAGGGAGGTGGGCGGGGCTTCAGGGAGGGCGGGGCCGTGCGAGGTGGGCGGGGCCTGGCGCGGCAGGGGTGGGGCCTGAAATGGGCAGCTGCTGGGTCTTGCAGCTGGGTGGCAGTCGCGACCGGCCAGTGAGTGCAGCCGATCTATTCCTGGAAGAAGACTGTTCCTCCAGCCAAGCCAGCCTGCTCCCCACGTCCCTCATAGCCCCACAGCCTGCTAGGACGCCAAGGCGGCGAGGCTTTTGGGCTGGCCATGCGAGAAGGACACAAGGACATTCAAGAGGAAGGCCAGTCTGGAACGTGCTTCGTCTCCTCTTCAGCTTCAGGCTGCGACTCTGTGACCTGCCCTTGTGGGCAGTCTCGTCCTCTCGAGCATCTGACCTCTGGTTCCTAAGTGTGGTGTATTTACATTAGCTGGGAGTTCGGTTCCGAAACCTAACAACAAGGCTAATTGGATCCCGGTGACAGGGACCAAGCGGTGGTGCTCAGCTGCGGAAGACAAGGTGTGCGGCGCTCTCCTACAGGAAAGCAGGGTCAGAGCAGCCACGGGAACAGTCTGATCAGCTCAGACCTCTGGCCTCAGCTGCATCACAGAAATAGGCAGTCAGGGCCCCCCATCAGTTTCTTTTCTTTTTTCTTTCTTTTGAGACAGGTCTCACTGTGCAGTCCAGGCTGGCCTTGAACTCGCTTCATAGCCCAGGCTGCCCAGCTTCCCCCATCATTTTTCAAGGGGAGCTTACAGACCGTGAGCTCCCTGAGCAAGGATGCTCCCTGCATCCTTCAAGGGCCAGCGCATGCCGGCAGCACTGGGAGCCGGGGATGCTTGTGTGTGTGTGTGTGGGGGGGGGTGACCTGGAAGGGGGCTGGGGCCCTAGCCACTTCCTTTCTCTCTCAAAAAACAGAAAAAACAAAAAGCCAGGCTCTTGTTTGCCAAGTGCACTGGGTCTTGCCAAGGCCATGGCTCTCAGACGTCTGATAATTCATCAGACTTACCTGGCTGACATATTCTGCTCTGTGCGAGCTGTGAAAATCTGACCTGCTGCTCACATTTGAGCTAAAGATTTCTCTTGTCACACAGGCAGCTCGATGGTTGCCAACTTTGATTGTTATTTTCTGACAGGTTTTTCTTTCCTTGACCCAGGCAGCAAGCCATAGCACCCCAAGGTAGTTAGAGAATACATGGTCCCCAATAGGTGCAGCCTACAGCCCCTTCCAAAATGCAGACGCCATAGAAGACGGAGACCTCCACTCCTTCAACACCCCATAAAGAATTACAGGATTGATGGCTCTCGGGGAAATGAGAGAGGAGGTGGGGTGTGGCAGAGCTGGCTGGGGCCCGTTAGTCACGAAATCCCAGGCCCCTGTGAGTGGAGCTTCTCGTGGGTCCTCATGAGATGGGGACTGCGTGTAAGGACACAGACGCCACTCAGAGCCCACTGTGCTGACTGCCCAGTAGCCCGCCCTGTGTCCTCTGGACCAGGATGTACTTTTGTTTTTGCTCTGTTTCTCTCTCGTTTGGGTCAGGTTTGCTGTTCAGAGCCAGTTTTCCTCTTGTTCCTTCACCTCACACTTTTCAGATAAACTTTTGGCACCAGTTTGTGGCGAGCAGCTAAGCTGAAGATGGATCACACAGGCAGGGCAGAGCACGGCCAGCCCTGGAACACGGAGCGACTGAGGGGGGCCAGGCGGAGGGCTTTCACCTGCCGCGCCTATACATGAACGCATGACAGCGAGGTCGGGTGGTTCTTTTCTCTACCGAGAGGGCTCCACCCGACCTCAGGTTTCGTTTCTTCATGGTCCTCCTCCCGGGAGTTTTTGAAAGTTGTACTGGATGTTGCAAAAATTGCCTGTGTCTGGACAAAATACTAACCCAGAAGCAACGCAGTATCCTGGAGGGGTCGTACAGCTTTAGGGCCACCATCGAGAACTTAAAAGGTACAAAAGCGGTGATTCCCACTCAGCTCTCCAACAGGTGACTGTGGAGAACAGCCGTGGGTTATTCTAAGCCAAAATAAATGTATTTGATTGAATTGCCTTTGTCATTCATTTAGTGGATTTCCCACTGTGTTAAAAAGTAGCCCAATTTAGGAAATTGAAAAAGGAAAACATAGTGATTTGACATCTGGAAAATTCTTTCCTAGTGGCTTTTCGCCACTGACCAGCATGGCTACCTCGCTACAGGCCCAGAGCAGCAGGACCAGCCTGTCATGGGCCAGAACCCCTGAAACATAAAGGATGCAACACGTGCAGCCATAGAAAAGACAAGCAGCTCTGTCTGTCCTGATACGCACACAATGTACTGATGGCTGTGAAATAAAAGTTGCGAGTATAGAATACAATTTACAGGGGGCTGCAGATTTAGCTCAGCGGCATAAGTGCCTGCCTTGCGAGGAGGCAGTAGTGAGTTCAATCCTGGGTACCGATAAAAAGGAAAAAAGACAAAAAAAAAAAAAAAAAAAATACAATTTACAGAGCGCCACCGTACCAGCAGAGTCCCAGGTCTGAGAAAAGCCAGATAGTGACTGGACACAGCCCCAGGAGTGTGGCCTGCTCAGACCCTACCTCAGCCTCCAGGCAGCTCTGGTCTCTGCAGCTGGAGACCTCTTAGGGCAATGGTGTGACACTCACAGGTATTCTCCTGTTTAGGAACAGGAGACCCAGTAACTTCCTGGCCCTGTTTAAACCACTTACTAGCAAGAGGAAATGAAACTTAATGATTGACTTAAAACTAGACCAGTCAGGACCACCCCTGGGGGCCAGTGCCCACCTCACAGAAGGAGGTACCTCAGCAGTTGATGGGTGGCTGTGAAAAGGTGGCTTCTGTCAGGAACAAGGAAGCGGGCAGTGAATGTCAGTCACAGGAGGAGGGCCGACTACAGGGAGGGTGGGGACCATTCTAATCTGTGTGTCTACAGTTCAGGATAACAGCAGCTGCAGAATGACAGCAACCAGTCTCTGCCATTCCGGGTCCCTGTCCAGCCACCACCTGTGGGGAGCCAGCCCACCCCAGTGTGTGCACACCCAGGAGCTGTTTGTAGGGACCCAGTCCTGCTGCTTGTCACCATCACCTGGGTGCCAATGAGGATGAAAGACAAACAGACACACAGTGTAGCAGGCACAAGCCGTTAACGTAACACAAGGCTGACCACCTTCCTTCCCCTGTTAACACGCACCCCGTCAACAGCCTGATCTCAAATCCATCTTTATGAATTACTTGTGATCATGGGAAGTAAATTAGAATTTTCAAGGCTTTATTATTACAAAATTGAAAATGGTTCTCAAATTGGAAGACAAAGCTACAGAAAACATTTCTCTTAACTGAGGAACAAACAACACCCTCTATATAGTTTCTGAAATGTGTGTTAGACTGTTTGATTTCAGTTACTCTGTTAAATTCTTTTTTTTTTCCAGTTTCTTTTCTTTCTTTCTTTCTTTTTTTTTTATTTTTATTTAAGGAGAAAAGAAAAGAAAGAAAAAAAAAACAGTGAAGGGGTACAAGTTATACAGATTTACAGAAGAAAAAAAATGCGCAGTAGGAAATCACTAGTTAATGGATTACATATTGCCACCTTAGAAATAATTGTTCAAGTCACAAAATTAAAGCCTGTAGAGTGGACATTCCAACAATGATACTGCAAACAGTTCTGTTCAATGATCCAATAAAACTCTGTGATATCATTTTCTATCTTATACACTTAAATATACATGCAGTTATATAGTTTAGAGCACTTTCTTTTCCTCTCTTTTGTACAGTGACTATTACACATTTTGGGTTTCATTGCTCCCACGGTTCTTATTGCTTTTTTGGAAGAGAGTAAAACCAAATGTGACATAACAGAACAGAATCGGTCAAGTCAAAAGGGTGGATATAATAGATAATATAAAAACATA